CTCTTTCTTTAGGTTTTTCCGCAAATTAGTATATACGGAAGCATTTTGTATTTTATATCACAGCATGATAAGTTTTTGACATCGTAATGATATCATTAAATGATTTTAAAATTCAAACATGCTACTTGAACATAGTAAGAGAAAACCATAACGCCTACGGTTCCTTAAAGCTGTTATATAAAATTAGATAATAAAATAAGTTAACTTGGTAATATTATGATATCGCTTTGATATCATAATGATGCCATTATTTGATATCATAACTTGAGAAAGTTTTGATACCATTCTGATCTTGCTTGTAGACTGGGAGAGACAAACTTAATGTTTATGGTGCTTTATAACTAATATATAAAATTCCAATATAAATTAAGTCAGCTAACTAAAGTTGTGATATCACTATGTTATTATAATGATATCATTATTTGATATCATAACTTGAGAAAATTTTGATAACATTCTGATATCTAAAAGATCTCACTTCTGGACTGGGAGAGAAAACCTTAATGTAAAAAACTAATATAAAAAACTCCAATATAAATTAAGCTAATCCTACTAAAGTTGTGATATCATTATGTTATCATAATGATATCATTATTTGATATCATAACTTGAGAAAGTTTTGATAACATTCTGATATCCAATTGATCTCCTTTCTAGACTGGGAGAGAAAACCTGTTTTTTTACGTTGCTTTATAACTAAAATACAAAACGCCAATATAAAATAAGTTAATCAACGAAAGTTGCGATATCATTATGTTATCATAATGATATCATTATTTAATATCATAACTTGAGAAAGTTTTGATATCATTCTGATATCAAATTGATGTCGCTTCGTGACTGGGATGTTTTTAAAGTGTTATCGATATTATTTTTTAATAAGTTGCAATAATAATTTTTTTTTAATTGTTTCTTTAAAGTTTCAATAATAAATTTTTTTTTTGATTGTTTTTTTAAAGTTTCATTTATCATTTTAATTTTTTTTGTATTTTCATAATTCACAGACCTGATCATTTAACGGAAATATATCGCAGCGAACTAAATATCATACAGACGCTATATTATTTTAAAATGTCTTAACTATACCGAGTACATTATATTATTCAAAAATGAGTAAAGTTTGCCTTAAACCATTTTTAAAATAATCAAAATTGATCAAGCGGTTCACAAAACCAGCGATGCGGAGTCCCAAAATAGACTACGGATTTCAAAGTCACAAAAAAATTACTTCTTCATAGTTTTTGGTATCTAGGAGCTCTAAAAATATAAAAAAGTTTATGGACAACTTGTAGAAAAAAATTTGAGACTTTTAGGTAAGAAGAACAATCATTTTTTGAACCCGGAGTCCTTAGGTATAATGGCGGCAAGAACTCCGGGGCTCCAGGACTTCGTGCTTAAAAACAATAAGTTCCATGTCATTAAATCACATGAATTTTTTTCTTCTAGCAGATCATAAGTTGACAAACATATTTAGAGCTTTTGGACACTGCAGACCTAGAAAAAATAGAATTAAAGCCGGAGTCTTTTTGGGACTCCGCATCACTGCACAAAAAATTTTAAAATTCCCGTAATTATCATTCTGCTCAGACTTAAAAAATCAAACTGATCTTTAGCATAAAAAGCTGAATTTTTGATATAATAATTGTTTTTAAACTTCTTTAACTTGATTATGTTTTAAATACTTGGCTTAAACACACTGGAAAAAAGACGTAAAAGATGCGACTTAATTTAAATGTACAAATTATTAAAAAAAAAATATTGTAGAACTAGATTGCAATATTTTTGCCTCGTATCAGAAGAGACCATAGTTCAAAATCAGAAGAGAAATTGTTAAAAACTTGGAAATGAGTGTATCTATTTCAAAAGTTTCGTTCTTACAGAAATCTTTGTTTGAAATAATAAAAGAAAATTAAACTCTAAGAACTCAATTAAAACTAATCGTAACTAAGAGTTCACATTTCCAAACGTCGATGTTGCACTGCAAGTGCTTTTGAATCCGCCACTAAAAACTGTTCAACGAAGCGGTCATTTAACACACTAAAGCAGATCGAGAGCGCTTTGCGTATATATATAAATTAAAATTCAAATGTTAAAAATTGTTGACAGAGTTTGGTTGCTGAGTTTAGTGAAAATGTTTTGAGAAACTTTAAAGAAAAAACTTACAACTATTTTAACTTTTTCCTTTAAAAATTTAATACTTTTTTGATTGTTTTGGTGATGTTTGGATAAATAAATGAAGCTGGAGATATAGAAAGCCTTACAAAAAAAACTCTAAATGAATTTCATCATGCTTATTTCTTGGCCTAAAGATCATTGCCAGATAGAGAGAAGGTCCTCATTAAAAAATGAGACTTTAAAAACTGCTAGGCGAGGGGTTTTGGCCTCCGTCTCTTTGAATCCTATGCTTCGAGAAGTAAAAATATGTTTTTCAGAATTTAAGTCTTTGATACCCACCTATATAAAAGATATTTATTATAAACCAAAATTTAAATTAAATTTCTGTGAGTAATGTAAACATTCTATTAATGCCGTTTTAATGGTGTACCGTTTTTTGGGTAATAAAAATAAGCTTTTGTTTTTTTTGTTTCGATTTCTAATGCCAACGATCTTTGTTTTATTTTAGTTTATTTTATTGCTTTGTATAAACATGTTTACAAACATGCATGTATAGAACTATGTATCAATACATATTAGTAAATCTTTCTTTACTTGAAACATAAAAAGTAAAATATTCTTAACATGTTACAAAGATGTTAGCAAAATTTTTATTTTTCCGATTAAAAAGTTCAATAAAAAAAAAAAAAATTAAAATGATTAAGTTTGAAAAGATCAATTTATAAAGTTAGAAATTTATAAAGTTTGAAATTGTTCATATTTTTAATTCTTATTTTCAATCAAATCAAAAATTTATGACCATTTAATGTAAAATTTATATTATATATGACAAATAAGCTATATTTGTAATAAATGTGTCCATTGTTTCCATCGACCAGCTAGTAATAAAGCAGTTAAGAAGCAGGTATGGCATGAGACCTACTCTACAGTCTATATAAAGGCAATACTTATTATTTATAACTATATACATATACATCCATCTATGTATATATAATATTCGTCTTGCCTCCCCATTGTCTGTTGGTTATGTAACTTGTAAAAAAATTTACCGTGATAAGTTTGAGATGAGTTTATTTTTATTTCTTTAAGATTTCCTTCTGAGGCTAATTAGTTCGCGTAGACTATATATATTTAAGAATATAATTTCATTTCACAGGAATGCTACATCAGTTGTTGCAAAATGTCGCTTTAATAAGCTTTTTTGTCTTAAGCAAATGTAGGAAGTAAGCTATAATAAATTTTAGTTTGCGATGACGAACATTCTGTTACATAAACAACTGAACCATATTTAGAAAATAAATAATTGGAAGTAATACTTTCATTGAAACGACATTGGCTACTTTTATAACAATTTTTTCTTGACTTTCTGTTAGCTTTTGTCTATTTTTTTGTACTTATATCTGATGTTGAAATTTATATAAAAATCTGATATAAAATTTATATTTTTTCCTTAAATCGTCACTTTTTCCTTTCATCTCTTTTCTCTCATTTTTCTTTTTTGAAATCTCCATCGTGATTTATTTTCTTTTTAATATCTAGCTAATAATGACTTATAAATGTTTTTTTTTTTTTTTTTTTTGAACACTTGAAAACTTTTCAAGTGTTCAAATAAAAACAAAACAAATGTTTATTATACATTACAAAAAAAAAATAAGGACAGAACAAAACCGGTCTTGAATGCCCCAACAATTTTAATCTTCTTCCGAACTCTCTAAGTTTCCTTTTCAACACATTTACTTCTGTCCTACCAGACTTGTTGTCTTGGCAACAATATCAGCAAATGTGATTTAGTAGTCATAACGTGCAAGATAGCTTGCAGGGCTTGAATCTATTAAATCTATTTCTTTATTTTTTTAATTATAAACGTTAAGAAATAAAGTATAAAGAACGCGGATACTCTAAAATACCATAAGGTCTTGTCACAGAGAATCGGTGTTAGGGGAAAAGTTTTTAATTTTATTTATAAAAGTTTATTTCTTGTTATGTTGTGGTCATTGCTTGCATTCACTAAACCAATTAAAATAATGTTTATAAACTTCTAAATTAGCAATACAAAACTGACTGAATTTTGTTTGACAAAACAGGATATTTAAAAAGTTATTATTACGCATGTTATATTTATTATTTATTTTTAATGTGAAAAATTTTTTTTAAATAAGTAATCCTGAGTCATTCTGACATTGAAACATAATATTTAGAGCTTTATAAATATTTAGTTTATATTTGTTAAAAACTTTGATCTCTTAAATAATATTTTGTATTCACAAAACGATTTTAAAAATATAATGAGCCTATAGCTTTTTTTTGCCGATGACAAAAAAGTCGCAATTTGGTTTTTCTTGAACTTTACCTAGCAATATGTTAACATTGGAAAATAATTCATCAATGTTAACATTCGATTAAAACAAATTTGTATCATTGGCAAATATTTTACTACTTTGATCTGACGTTTTGTTAAGATCATTTCTATAGAAAAAAATTGAAAGGGGTCCTAATAAAGGAAATTGCGGAATACTATATAGTATTTCAGCCATTTCATTACAGCACCCATCATCATCATTATCATTGTACTGAACACTTTGTTTCCTTTTTTTAAGTAACTTTGATTCCATCCACAGATTATTTTTTAAGCTATAGTTTTTAACTTTTGAAGTAAAAATTGACGATAACGAGATAATACTTAAATAATAATCCCTCATTTTTCCTTTTTTTTTTTACTTTTATGTGAAATGGTGGAAGGATGTCTCTTGTTGTGGTGGAAGGATGTTAAAAAAAATTTATTTAAGAATAATATGGAAAGAAGTTTTCTAAAATTAAATATTCAATGAAAATAATTTGTCTTATATACTTAATGTACTGATTAAAATTATTTTTTTTTTTTAAAGAATGAAAAAAGTTGTTAAAGAATGAAACTTAAAATTGTTATATCACTAATCAGTTTGATAGTAGTTGTTGCAGTCATTGTTATTGTAGTAGTTGTGGTTAAAAACAATAAAACTTCTGCAAATCAAAACAACAAAAACTCTACAAACGAAGTCAACCCTAATAAAGCAAGTTTATACTCAAAAGCAGCCGTAGCTTCTGATGCAAAGGTTCATATATTTTAAATTTGTAACTTATCAAATAACTAATATGGAAACTTTTAAATAAATAGTTTTTTTATATTTAAATTGTTGTTAATAGAAACTTCTAATTAGGAAATTTTTTTCTCATTAATAGTAACAAAATTAAATTATTTAATAGTCTTATTTGTTTTTATCATTTTTTAATTTGAAAAAAAAAAAGAAAAAAAGTTAAGTTTTTTATTTAATTTTTTAAGAACATTTTATAAAACCATTTAAGAAAATTAAACTAAACAATTGAAAAAAAAAAAAAAAATATTATTATTATAAAAGAAAAATTTTATTTTATAAAAGTGTTTAAATGAAATCCTATGCAAGAACGTTTAAATATTGTTTATAATAGGTATGTTCAAAGGTGGGAAAAGACATTTTACTAAAAAATGGTTCTGCTGTTGACGCCACTGTTGCTACACTTATTTGTATTGGACTTGTTAACATGCACAGTTGTGGATTAGGGGGCGGTGGTTTTATGAACGTTTATGAAAGAAAGAGTAAAAAGAGTTTTATTTACGATTTTCGCGAAACTGCACCTGCAGCTGCAAACAAAACCATGTTTGCTAATATTTCCTCGACAGAAGGTAATTTTAAATTAAGTTTAAGATAAAGAAACAATTTAGAACCACAGTTTTTCCTTAATCATTAAAAAAAAAAGGTATGTGTAAAACAAAACGTGGTTTTTTGAGACACTCTGCATCAATAGTGCCACATACTGTGGTGGTTAAGCTGTTTATCTAGAACTAAATTATATACATGTATATATATGTATATATATATATATATATATATATATATATATATATATATATATATATATATATATATATATATATATATATATATATATATATATATATTATATGATAGTATTTCAACCATCTACATATCATAACTATTATATGAGAGTAGATCAACCATCTACATATCATATAATATATATATATATATATATATATATATATATATATATATATATATATATATATATATATATATATATATATATATATATATATATATATATATATATATATATATATATATATATATATGATATATATATATATATATATATATGTATATATATATATATATATATAAATATATTATATGATAGCTTTAAATTGTTCAAAATTAAAACATTTCTCAACATCACATCTATAGTACTCAAAAAGTCTAAATAAGTTCTCCACAAATGTCTACCTATAATAATTTTTCTGCTTCTTTGCAAATATTTGTATCACTGAAGATTAAAATAAAAATTATGTTTTGAATTTCAGTCCAAAAACTTCATAAGCACAGGCTTTTTCAGCCATTCTTTGGAGAACAAGCTTAAAAAACAATCTTTTTTTAAAGCTTTGGAAATTATTGTTTAAAGTGCCCGCCATGGTGCGGCTGGAGCTGAATGTGCAACTCAGCTTATAATTCCTTGCTTCTACGCAACAAATCTGAAAAATTTTTGAAGAGATAATTTACAACTCCAAAATGAAAATGAAATTCCATTGGTGGAATTACATCTAAAATGAGCACTGAGTTGTCCATAGTGATCCATAGTAACATTTGTGAAGTTTTTTGCATAGTTTAAATCTTATATTTAATTAATTTTATTTAAATCTAAATTAAAACCATTAGCAGAAAACTCAGCATATCTTTCCTTTAATGTGCCAAAATATTTGAGAGATCAACATTCTGATAGATTATATGAATTAGTATTGCACCAGCAGCAAGGACTGGATGGTATTGAATTCCAAAAATAATATTTACCATCATTAAATCAGATGAAATTTAAAATGCCGCTTCATTCAATTGAAAAATATTTATTAACGCTTTTACATTCTTGAATGTTTCAGGTAGATTTTTAACAATGACAGCAATGAGCTGACGTTTAACACTTGTGTCTCGAAATATTGAATCTGTGACGTTTCATGTGACGTTTTATTTGAACTTCTTGTTTTGTTACTCTTATCAGTTATTTTAATTGCCAACCTCATTTTCAAAAATGATCCTCCACCATCAATTCCAAGTTTGACAAAATGGTTGAAGTTATAATTTCTGTCCAACAATACCTTGTTAGTTAAATCCTCCAATTTTTTGCAGTGAGCAACATGTTTTTGCTCTTCAGTTTTTCCCTTTCTAGTTGCAAAATTGACAACTGAATATTAAAAGAAATCTTGCAATGTTTTTCCGGCACCATTATATTTTTCCTTAAAACCCTATTCAACCAGACGAGTTCCTATTGCTTTGTTGAAAATGAGGCAAGTTTTCTAATTCTCATGTTAGGTAGTTCATTGCTCAACTGCACGTTTAAAAACATTTTGCTATAAATATTTTTGATTTTAGTTCAGATTGTGGGACTAATAAAACATAAAAGGATCTTGAAATAACTTTTAAACTTTTAATAATGTGTAATAAATTCAAAGTAATAACAAGTATAAATGTAAACAACAATTTTCACTGCTAAACATTGTTGAACTTTAAATATTTTAAAACATAATAAATGTATAATTGCTTGGTATTACTGGAAATTATCTTCCTCTTTTTGCTTGGCTAAGCAAAAGTTTTTCACTAGGACAAAAATTTTTTGTTTTTATTACAGTAGGTGCAATTAGCTCTGCTCCAACTTGATCTTTCTTCACGTACACGTAATATCACCATCTTATATCATCTTATCACCATCTAGTATCATACTTTTTTGTAAAACAATTCACCATGATTTTCACATACCACATGGAACTTTTGTGTTAGAGGACTTAAAACCATGCACAAAAGTTAATTGGTGCCCATCAAGTAATAAAGACGAAGTTTTCCTCTACAACAACATTCCATCTCACTAATTTCTTGGTAAAAATTAGGGTTGTACACCTTGTAATACACCTGTAATTTCACCACAAGAACACCTTCTAAACCTGCAAATTGAACAACTTGCTTATCATATACATATCACATTTTTTCTGGGAAACTAAGATAAAAACCCAAAAAGTTTGATTATTTAACTTTCCGGCCTTAAGGTCATTCGCAGAACGCAGGGGGAATTCTTTAAAAAGTTTGTTCTTTGCTAAGAGCTTTTACAGACTGGTTAACAAATCTTTTTTTTTATGTTAAAACAACAATATAATCTTGTCCGTCAAAACTAGATTTAGCAACATACAGTGTAGGTTTAGCAACATTTAGTGGAGGTTTTGTAACATGCAGTGGAGGTTTAACAACATCCAATCGAGGTTTAACAAAATGAATTGCAGGTTTTGCAACATGCAGTGGTGGATTAGCTTTGAAACATCTTTACAAAGTAATAGTTTATCTTTGCTTTTCTTTTAAGTAACAAAGTATAGAAAACAACGAAACTTCTCTTGTTTCCAATACCTTTGTATTTAAAATCAGGCAAATCACTTGAGTCAGGTTATGAAAGCAAATACAATTTGTTACCATTTAAATCTGATTATAATGAAAGAAAGTATAATTGCTATCTGTGACTTTACTATCTGTGTGGGTTTTCTTCAAGGAATTTTTTCAGTACAACAACTGACTCTTATAATTTTAAAATCAATACCTGCAACTAGTAAAGCATACGATCACATTTACCAATTATAAAATCACTACCTGCAACTAGTAAATAACACAATCACATTTAGCAATTATAAAATCACTATTTTCAACTAGAAAATGTACAAAATCACATTTAGCAAATCTATGCATGCGTTATTTATACAAATTATAAATAAAATTTAAATTAATTCTTCCGTTTGTTAATTAATAGCGTTGTAAAAAATAAAAACTCAAACACATTAAATACAAATTGATTATATTTACTTGATATGAAAATAGCGCTAGTTATGTTATCATATATTAAAAAAGCAAGGCAAATTGTAAATACAAAAAACACCAAAACAAAAAAGTGAAGTTTACATACCTGTTTAAGAAATGTAAATTAGTGCATTTTATAAATATTTAATAAAAATTTTCGTCATATACTTGCATTAGATTGCATTAAAAAAAAATTCTTAAACAGTTTAACCACTGATTAAATTAAAGTTTATTAGTACTTAGTACAATAGTTTTTTTCACATTTTATACTTTTTATTTCGAACTTTTGTTTTTTAAAAAAAATACTAATAAAGGTAAAAAAGGTAGCTTAAAATGTATAACAATGTCAACTTTATTTTCTTAAAATCTTTAAACTTTGTATTGCGTTATCGTGTAGGAGATCTTTAAGTCTTGGGCATTAAGTTTAACCAAAGCTTAAACCACAGCAATTAATATTTAGAGGATGTGTTTTAGGAGGTTTGGCTGCTGGGGTTCCTGGAAATGTAAAAGGTCTCTATTATGTATGGAGGAAACATGGAAGACTTCCTTGGAAAGAGTTAGTGCAACCAACTATAGACTTAGCAAGAAAAGGATTTGAATTAACAAACGCCACATACTTGAGTACGGTTTCATTAAAATCTAAAATTGAGGCAAAGCCAAACTTGCGGTTAGTTTTTATTTTGTTGTAACGACTGAGTAAACATTTTATAATGTTTTTTTTATTAATATTTAAATTTTTAAATTCTTTTTTTCAGCAAATTATTTATAAAACCAGACGGCTCATGGATGAATGCTGGCGATAATTTCACAAACCCAGTACTAGCAAAAACATTAGAAACAATAAGAGACAACCCTGAAGACTTTTATAACGGCAGTTTAGCAGAACAATTTGTTAACGATCTCAAAAATGAAGGTGGTATTATAACACTAGATGATATGAAAAATTACAATGTAGTTGAAAGACAACCATTAGTTACTGAAATTAATGGTTTAAAATACTATTTAATGCCACCACCTGGAAGTGCAACAGTGGTCGCCATGACGCTTAATATTTTAAAAGGTAATAAAATTGTATTTAGGTTTGATGAAACAATAGTACTCCATACTGAGGTATACCATTACACTGATGTATATATATATATATATATATATATATATATATATATATATATATATATATATATATATATATATATATATATATATATATATATACACTGATGTATATATATATATATATATATATATATATATATATATATATATATATATATATATATATATATATATATATATATATATATATATATTATATGATTACATTTTTAAAAAATTTAATTTTACATAAAAAACTCTAGAATAAATATTATAAATAAGACTTTACAGAAAAATATTTATTGACTAAAAATATACAGAGTGAAAAAATACGTCTTGGAAATAAATTTTAATTAATTTAAAAACAACAACCAAGCTTTCATGCTGACGCGCTCTTTCTAGAGAGTGAATCTTTCTAGAGAGTGAATCACCTGTTGTAATTTATATTAGTTTAAGTTTTGAGTTTTTTCACGAATGTTGGCGTTTAATTGCTGAACAGTTCTAGAATTATTATGGTATAATCTTTTAAAAACTCCCATAGAAAAAAGTCTGAAGCTCTTAAGTCAGGTGAGCGTGACATCCAGTTAATTTCAGAATTTAGCCAAATTAATTTTCTCTCAAAAATATGTCTTAAAAATTCCATTGTCATGCAACTCACTAGATGTCACACACTCACTAGAATTTCTTGATTCTTTTCACGATTGATAGTTTGCGTGTTTTCTACATCGTCTTTCAAGATCTAAAAACTCTTTCCGCACATACACAACTCCAATTATTATTTTTAGAGAACGCAAACAACGTTGGTGTACTATTTTTAAATTCTATGTACCTCAAATAAAATATTTTGTTAATTAACATAACCGTTCAGATGGTTGTCGGACTCATTGCCATCTATATGATTAGTAATTGAATTCAGGATTTTTTTTCGTGACTCATTGTGAACCAATCACAAATTCGTAAACCTGAAACCGCCTGATTATCATTTATTTAAATTTTGGTTTTCTAACTCTAAAATGACAAGCGTAATTGATCGTCTATTTTCAAAACAAAATTTGATTATTTTAACACGTTGTTCGGTAGTGAATTTTTTTTTAAGTACGTTTTAGCTTGTTATTTTTTTAACTTAACGCTAAAACTATAACAAGCTAAAAGAACAACAATAACAAGCGATTGAATAAAATAGTGATTTGTTTGAATAAAATTAAATGACATTAATTCAAAATCATTAAGTAAAACAAAATTTTAGTATTAAAAGAACTCTAAATTTTAAAAAATTTAGTATTAAAAGAACTCTAAATTCTAAAAATGTTAGTATTAAAAGAACTCTAAATTCTAAAAATGATAATATTAAAAGAACTCTAAATTCTAAAAATGTTAATATTAAAAGAACTCTAAATTCTCAAAATGTTAGTATTAAAAGAACTCTAAATTCTAAAAATGTTAGTATTAAAAGAACTCTAAATTCTAAAAATGACAGTATTAAAAGAACTCTAAATTCTAAAAATGTTAATATTAAAAGAACTCTAAATTCTAAAAATGTTAGAAATAAAAGAACTCTTATTCTAAAAAATCATGCGTTTTCAATCTATTGTAAACAACTTTAGCATACTAACCTTTTGTTCGTAGTATTTTAGCTTCCATAAACAACTTCTTTCTCACTTCTGTTTTCTCTCGCTATAATCTTTATTTTTGTCTTTGCAGCCTGTTCTGAGTTTCAACTTTAAATAATTTTCCATTATTAAATGTTTATCATTTTAATTGAAGAACTTTAAAACTATACTTCTGTTTATTTTTTACCATGCTCTTTTTTTCCAATTCGATGTGCTCTTTTGATCACAAAACTGTTTTTAATACCAAGTTTAATTCAACAAATCTTTTATTTTTATCTCACCCTCTTGCCAAGTTTCATTTTCACTTTCTTCGATACCACTAAACCTTAAATTGTTTTGTCGGCTGCGATCCTCTACTTCTGCAAATTTGTCTTTAACCGTATTTTTGCTCAGCTCAAAGTCAATGCAAGAATTATTTAAAGTCAATGTTAAATTTAATATTTTCTTTTTAGATTCAATCAGTTTTGATAATACGTTTTTGTATATTTCATTTACGAACTTCACAGATTTCTGTAGTTCGTCGATTTCATTTTTTAAGTTTGCACACTAAAAAGCTTGATTTCCATTTATCAGACTTATCATTAAATACTTTCAATAATGTATTTTCATGAATCTCTTGCAGCTCTTTTACTTGTGAAATAGTAAATTTCGACATCTTTATTTTTTAATAGTAATTTATTGTTAGAAAAATAGCACATCCGTTCACGTTTATGGCTTAAGCGATCACGTTTATGGCTTAAGCGATCACGTTTATGGCTTAAGCGATCACGTTTATAGCGATCAATTTAAAAGGATTACGAGTTAATATAAGTTACGAATTTAAAAGGTTACGAATACCATCGTTGAAAAGATGGAAACAAAATTATAACTTGTGGTGTTCCCCAGGGATCCACCTTAGGACCACTTTTATTTTTGTTGTACATTAATGATTTATATTTAGCTTCCAAAACTTTAAATCTTATTTTGTTTGCTGACGACTCTAATCTTTTTTAATCAAATAATAATATAAAAGATCTTTTTAAAATATTTAATGAAGAACTAATAAAAGTTAATGATTATATCACTTGTAATAAACTTTCAATAAATGTACTGAAAACTAAATTCTTGTTGTTTCATAAACCTAGTAAGAGTAATCACCTCCCTCTTAAATTGCCCGATCTCTTTATGAATAATTCAGTAATTAAAAGAGAATCAATTGTAAACTTCCTGGGAATAATACTAGATGAAAATTTATCATGGAAATCTCATATAAAATCTATTGAAAATAAAATTTCCAAAAATATTTCTGTTCTATATAGAGTTAAACCATTTCTTAATATCAAGTCTTTAAGAATTATATATTTTTCATTTATCCATAGTTGCCTAACCTATTGCAATATTGCATGGGGAAGTAGCAACTATAGAAAGCTTTAAAAAATCTATAATAAGCAAAAAATGACATGCAAAATTATTTTTGGCGCTAAGAGAACTGCTCATGGAGAGCCTCTCTTAATGGAACTAAATGCACTCAATGTTTATAAACTTAATATATATCAAGTTATGCTGCTCATGTTTAAATCCAAACATGGTTTGTCGCCTAACATATTTCACTCTTACTTTACTTAAATTTTTCATAAGTATCTCACTAATTTTTCAAATGATAATTTTGTAGTTCCAAGATTCTATTTAAAACTCAGTTTATTCCAAATACAATATCGTGGACCATTTCTAAGGAATGAATTTTTTCAAAAAATTATTAAAAATAACATTCTTAAAAACATTACTTACGAACAATTCAAAACAGTATGTAAACGTTTTTTATTAGGAATAAATTTCGATTTTAAATATTTATTTTAAAATTTGACTATAAAATAAAATGAATAAACGGAATAGATCTTCACCTTTTTTTTTTTTTCTTTGAAAAAATCATTTTATTTTCCATTAAATATGCTATGACTGTAAATTTATGCTATTTTAATATCTTATTTTAACTTTATAATATCTTTGTAGAAATATATTTTTGTTTTTTATGTTACCTATTTTTATGTTTTAAGTTTTTAAATTGTAATATTAACTGACGGCTTCTATGTAAACGGGGCTCGGCGATAAAACAATATGTCTTCTTCTTGCTCCGGCTATTTTTATATATGTAAACAATTTTTTCTCATTGTAAATAGTATTATACTATTACATTAAATTAAATTATTATTATATTAAATTAATAAAAAATAAAATAAAATAAACTGAAATAAGAAACAAAATTCTTAATTTTAAAAAGTTATTCAAACATAAAATGGTCTTGTGACTTTTGGTTTACCCTTTTCATAATAAGCCAATAAAAATGGTTACAAAAAATGTCTCAGCAAATTAGGGCCGTGCGCCGGGTTTTGGGGTACCGAGTACCTTTAATTTGGAGGTCCATCCAAAATTAATGATTTCAAAATTTACAACTATTTTTATTTATTTTATATAAAAAATTTTATCTAATTTTTATTTTTATTTACTTTTATATAAAATCTTCTAGAAATTTACTACGGTTTTTTGTTAAAAAATGTATTGTGTATAAAATTTAAGTAATTAACTATTATATAAAACCATAATTATGAATAAAAATATTATAAAATTCTAGTTTATTAAATTTTGAGAACCAGGTTAATTTACTTTCGGAGAAAATGAATTGCACTGATTTTTTAATGGTGATAGTGGGTGACCTTTTTCAAAAGATAAACGAACCTAAAATACTCTTTAGTTACTTTCAAACCAAGCTTCATCTATTTTACATACAAGGAACAAGACTTGAAAAAAAATTTTTTTTTCTTTTTGGAAGTATACTGTATAAATACTAGTAGCACACTATATGGGATATTACATATATGTGTATAATACTTTTGTAGAATACAATATAGAGTATACTACAAAAATGATGTTTAAAAAAAAAAAATATGTCGTAGCAAATTAAAAACACTGATCTAACTTTTACTTTAGCATTTTCTCCTTCTGTTGGATCATTAACCGCTGTTTTTAAAGGTTTTCAGTGGTAGTTATATTTAGATATATTATTCATATTTTTTTAACATTCTTATATTTTAAAGGCCCTGCATTAATTTGAAAATCACGTCGTTTATGCCTCAATTCAAAGTTTTTTTTAGTTAAGGTGGTAGACCCCCTTTATTTTCTTAAAAAATATTTTTTATTGGTTCTTATGAAAAATTTATCAAGGAACACTCAATTTAACCATTTTCGTGTTAATATAAAAAAAAAAAAAAAAACTTTTGTGTAAAATAATTTTTTACAAAAAAAAAAGTTTTCTGCTATTCAAGCTTCTCTTCTTTTCTTTAGATATATTATTGTGTCTTCTTATTCTTTTAACTGGTTA